AATGTATCGAACAAACAAAATATCTTATATTGATAACAAACAAGCAATAATAAAAATAACAAAGAGTCTACCCGACGCATAAATACCCAGATTGTAGACTAGATAATTGTTCATAATCGTTTTTAAGTGAACTATTAATGGAAGTACCTGGCCTCCTCTTCTAATGGCCTTTGACAGGAGCTCCGGTGACCTGACGTCTTCTCCGCCCGCCTCGCACCTCATGATGCCACACACACCTGCATGTGGAAGTGAGGTCAGAGTGAGGATTATGCGTTCTTCAAGAAAAGGAATATAGACTTTGTATGAGGTATGAGGGTGTCTGTGTGTGTCTGTGATTGACTGTATGTTTGGAAGATAGTTGTAGAGGAGGTTGATTGGGTTGAGTCACGTCTGCCTCCAGTTGTGTCTCATTTGGTATTTATTTGCGCAGAGAAAGGGGAAAACATGATAACAGGTAAATAGTATAAAACGACAAGCAGCTCTTCTGCTCATCAGATATCCTTCGTATAACTCAGCTACGTCATAGCTACTGATCATAATGATAATTGAAAATAATGATAATGATCTAGGATAATAATATGATGCTACTGATGGAAGTAAAAATAAAGATGAATATCCAAAGTAATGGTGAAGAAGAAGGAAACTCTTTCTTTTCTCGCCCGCAAAGATCTTGAAACCGGAAGCGAAATCCTGGCCTCACGTGACCCCACAAAGCACAGCTGATCTGTGGTGCACATCGTGACCCAGCATTCGCGAGAAGGTGTTAATCTATGTGTTTTGATACACTGGAAACGGCCGACATATAGTTTATGACCTGATCTCTTATGTGACTTCGTATGTATGTATGTATGTGTGTGTATATATATATATATATATATATATATATATATATATATATATATATATATATATATATATATATATATATATATGCAAACGCGCGCACGCGCACATGTATGTCTGTGTGAATATACATGTGTGTATACATGAATTAATAAGTAAATGAATATGTATATATATATGTATATATATATGTATATATATATATACACACACACACACACACACATATATATATATATATATATATATATATATATATATATATATATATATATATATATATATATATATATATATATACATATATATATATACATATATATATAACATATTCATTTACTTATTAATTCATGTATACACACATGTATATTCACACAGACATACATGTGCGCGTGCGCGCGTTTGCATATATATATATATATATATATATATATATATATATATATATATATATATATATATATATATATATATATATACACACATACATACAAATGTGTGTGTGTGTAAAGAGAGAAAGCTTGGGGACCATTAAAAAGACCGAGAGACGCCAAGTCGCATGAGGTCATTGTCGGCTCCTCTTTACATTCATGTCAGATCTCACACCAACTTGCCAGACATTAATAATGGCAAAATAATGAATCTCACACTAGTGTTAGTTGCCTTCATAATTATCATTAACATTGGTAGCTAAAAATTCACGTGTTGTTCTGGAATACGATGTGTGTATATATATATATATACTTCAATAACTATACGGAAATAGTAATGCTGCAAATGGGAGGAATAATGATAATCACTGTAATAATTACAATAATTACATCGATACTAATGGTAATAATGGTAATGATAATAACAATAACAGCGGTGATTGTAACAATAACAAAAGTATTATCAATAACAGTAACAGCGTTAATGATCAAAAGGTAACAATGATTGCAACAACATCGACAAAAAAAAACGAATATGTAGCTTGTGCCGAAATGTAACTAAAACCATCAGTCATAAAAAATAAATTGGTATTACGAGAATGCGCATTCTAGTACAACACTGATGGGCGGGGTAAGAAGGCGGGGAATAGGGGCGGGGCATCGAGGGAGCGATGTATGTGGGCGGGGCAGGTACTTCATTAGCTTTTGTCACACGTGCGTAATCTACTTAGGTACATTCTATCGGCAAACTTTGATGCGTTAATGATTTTCAGAATAGATATGCGAAATGCATCATGTGCATATATAGGTATGACTATTGAATTCTATATATAATATCATAAAAAAACTATCATTAGGATTTTTTTTACCTAGGTTTACTTTACTGTTAATGACATGAATTGTCATTTTTCTGGCGCCACAAGGACAAACGTCGCTGGTGATTAAATTGCGTTCCGTCTAGACAGTGTGGTCATTCACAGCGCCGTGTTTCTTGTCCAAAAAAATCCATATTTTTGTGAATATAAAAAATAAAAGATGACTTTACAAGAAATTCTTTACTCAGCGCCACAAAGCAAATTGTTCATTACTGGTGGAAATAAAGGAATTATGACTTTCAGAATTTAGTGTTGCTTTGTCCATTCGGTAAAATAAGTTCATTTGTATAAAAAATCCTTTTCGATCTTCACCCACGACCTACAATTTCTGTATTTTAGATAAGCAATCTCTATGCTTTTTTCTCAGTGTGAAGCCAAAGGTTAATTAGGGCAGCCTCTTTAGACCTGACTGAGATTTAATTCGGATGACACTACTATCAGCTCGTGATCAAAGCGATAGCACACCTGTGTCATGTCCTTGTCTGAAAACAGCTGTCCGCCAGAGAGAACGAGTGTCGGTTCAGTCGTAGTGATGACCTCTTTGGTTCACTGAGAATTCGTCGAACTCCTGGAGATAGTCCTTGAGAGCGTCAATGGCTGATAACTTGTAAGATTTACATACTTATAGGCTGAGTGAGAGAGGGTTCTTTTCTCCACACTACAGACTTTCAAGACAACGGCCCAGTCCAGCCAGTTGAAAACTCCACAATTAAAGAGCTCACTTCTGTGACAAGGGATCCCTTCTTCCATGCTTCATATGTCTGTCAGCAAGCTCATTCCCAAGAATACAAAATGGATTTGGTGTCTAACTGAATCCCCTAATATAATAAAAAGTCATCTCGACTGGTAATTCTGTTG